TCTGGGTCAGCCGCGTCTGTTTTTCTGCCTCTCTGTGTTTGTCTTCCTCTGTCTCTATCTCTTTGTCAGTCTGTCTCTGTATGCATCTCTGTCTCACGCGCATCTCTGTCCTCCGTCTCTCTATCTAATCTATCTCTTACGCGCGTCGCTGTCCGTCTCTAGCAAAATACACAAAGAGATATAGTGAGGCATGCCGAGAACGATGAAGAGAGACAGGCTGAGTGATATAGAGTCAGTCAGAGATTGAGAGGCAGAAACACACACACACACACAGAGAGAGAGAGAGAGATGGAATGAGACGGTCAGAGGCGGGCCGAGGCAGAGATACACAAAGGCAGACACAGACAGAGACGGAAAGAGAGAAACAAATAGGTAAAAAAAGAGAGCTAGAGAAAGATAGAGGAAAGAGTGGCAGCCAAGAGACAGACAAAGAGAGAGGGATAGAGATGGAGACAGAGAAAGACAGCCACAGAGATAAAGAGAGAGACCGACATAGGCAGACTGAAGCAGACAGAGAAGCAAAGAGAAATAGACACGGAGACAGAGGGTCAGAGACTGAGAGCTAGAAAGATGGAGGCAGAGAGGGAAAGGGACAGAGAGAGACAGGCAGAAAGGCAGACGCGTACACAGACAGTGGCAGACAAAGTCACAGACGCAGAGAGAAACAAACAAGTCCAGAGAGAGAGAGAGACGTGTAGACAAACAAAAAGGGAAAGAGAAACACACACACACACACACACACACATATATATATATATATATATATATATATATATATATATATATATATATATACACACACGTCGAATTTTGAACAAATTTTTCTCTATAATTAAACTGATAAAACTCTAAAATATTTTTTTCTTTAAAACTTTCTTCTCGTATGTATCAAAGGGCAGTATATAAACGGGTACCAGTCCCTTTTTGCAAACACTCTGAATTTTTGAAAACTGAAAAAAAGTTAATATTGTGAAAGTACAGTATTGAATACATACATTTTTGTCTTAAAATCTGTTCTAAAAATATCTTAAAAACGTTATGCATAATTTTTTGAGAAAAGAGTGGTTTTTCTGCGTAATTTTTGCTTGAATTGATGCAAACTATTATATAAAAAAATTTTAAAAAACGCAACAATTTTCAACTTTATTCCACGAATAGAACAAGGGACACTTAAAAGAATGGAACAGGTCTCATTTTCGTTTAACTACCAACATTTTTGAAACTTGCAAAATTTTGACTTTTTTTAGATAATGCGAGAAAGCTTGTGCTGTTGTAGCTCCACTAGTTACATTTGTTATGGATGTGAATTGAAACAAATCATAAAATGTTTTCAATTATCTTTAAATTAAAAGTGATAAAAAATATTATATGTGTAGAATTTAACTATCAACATGCATTTAATGGAAATCTAAAAGGTAGCTATTGCGATTCAGCTTTTTTTGTCCAAATTTCCCAGATAATGACAGAAAGGATTTCTACGAGGATTTGTAAGAACAATGATGAAAGCAAACATTTCATGAAGGTATGTATATTATGTTTCTTTCATAAACTTTCTACGCTGATACGTAAATAACAATAACAATAAAATTCCTAGTGCCTATTTTACGTTTTTAATGCATATTTTGCCTGCTTTTTCTAGTTTCTTAAGCCTATTAATCTGCAGCTTACTAATGACTGAAAAGAAGCAGGTCCCTTTAAAATTGTTAGACAGACATTTATTCCTACTAAAACAATTACAAAAAATTAACATACAATGTAGGCTTTCACGGCCGGTTTCCATATCAAAATCAGTTGTTTCCGGGCTTGAAGGCCGTGGTCCAATGGAGACTTGTCCATACGTTTCGCCTGCAACTGTAGCAGGCATCCTCAGTGCCGTTGCTGGCGGGGGCGAAGTGTCCTTGTTGGCAGCGCCGCGTCAGTCAACGCGATGTGAAGGGGGCACGGGACGGGGGCAGACAGTGCGGAAGGCGACGAACGCAGATGTGGAGGAGGGCAGAGCGTCGTCGGTGACGGTCCTCTCGGGTGAATGGGCGCGACGGCTACATCGTTTCACAAAGATGACGCTCCAGTGCA